CAAGATTCTTTCTTTGTCTTTATCTTCCAACAGTTTCACTATAATGTGTTTCCTTGTGGATCTCTTTGATCTTATTCTGCTTGGAGTTTGTTGAGCACCTTGAATGTGTAAACTGATGTCTCACCAAATTTGTAAAGCTTTTAGGTATTATTTCTTCAGATATTCTTTCCGCTCTGAGTTGGGCAAAATAAAAGCCAGCCCTTACACCGGTCCTTCTGGGAACTGCTAGACAGGTAAAAACAAACAAACAAACAAACAAATATAACCGCAGTTATTTGAGAATAAGGTTTTGTTTTGCTCACTCTGCACTAACAACCTGCACTGGGAACATGAATTACCATCTTCATGGATACCATCGACCTAGGGAGTGCAGGATGAGGTGTGCAACAGCATTCTCTTACTGCAGGGTGACAGCAATAAGTATCACAGTAAGTGTGACAGCCTCTTTCTTTATTAATCTTTCTATAAATTCTTGACTAGATTCCAGAGTTTTGCAAAAGTTGATTTAAATGGGATTTTTTCTAGGTTATTAGTTGATTTTTACAGCTGGATGGAAGCTTTTGAGTTCTCTACTCCACCATTTTCAGTGATCTCACTTCCTTCTTTTCTTTTTTGAATCCTTTACTGGATCTTTATATATTCCCAAAAAGTACATGTTACAAATCCTATTTTATTTTTATTAAAAGGGGATTGTATATTATCTTTTGGCCCCCTTTTCACGGAATACTGTTTCAAGTCATCCGTATTTTTGTGTGTGATATTGTGGTTCATGTTTTGACTGCTGAATGGTATTCTAGCATAGGAGTATTTCCAGGAGATTGTTTAGCTCTTACTGTGTAAATATTTTGTTTGCACACCTTAATTGAGGTGAGGTAGTGTAAGAGATAGCTTGTTTTTCCAGGTACCAACTAGCAGGCCATTTTAAGGCACCTAGTGTGTGCAGCATGGTACCAGCCTCTGAAGGGTATGTTGGTATGGGAAGGTGGGCCCAGCTGGTGCCTAATTCAAATGTGAGATGACAAGGATGGGCGCAGGGGGCAACTATTTGTGGACACGAAAATGGAGGGGGAGAATTCCAAGGCACCACTGAGGAAGAATTGCTGACAAGCTTTGTGGAAAATTGGATACAGATGGTAAAGGATCAGAAATTGAAATAACCTCTCAGGATCTCAAGTCTCAGAAGCTGGGGTAGATGTGTTTGGGGGAAGGGATGATTCTAGGAAGAAAAGCAATGGAGTTTTGAAAAACAACAAGGCAGAGCAGGACTTACATCATATGAATGTCTCAGCGTCTGTTGCTCTTCAGGCTACTCCTGGGTCAAGGCAGGAGTTTTACCTCTTGTCTCTGATTTTGGAATGTTTTTCCTCTCTAATCTAGCTTGCATTTTCCTGTCAGATAGAAAACCACCATTTGCTTGACTCCCAGCATGGCTCCTCGCCTGCCTTCCCAGCCTTCCACCTCCCTGCCCATGTACCCCACAGCTCCCAGTAAAGTTGGGGCAATGCTCCTCTGCACCAGCTCTAAGCCACACTGGGATTTCCTGGCTGGTAAAGCCCCCACGGCCTTACTGTCTCCCTGCTGCCTCTAAAATGCTGTAAGTCCTTTGGGGGTCCAGCTCAGATCCTGCTTTTTTTTCCACGAAATCTTTCCACACTTTCTTTCTTCCTTTCCAGAATAGCCATTGTATATGGAGTGCTTATTTGGATTTTTTTTTACTGAACCAAAGTCACATTGTTGAAATGACCTAAAATTTTAAAAGAATGTGTAATATGAATCTATTTATCTTTCTTTTATAAATAAGTTATTCATGTTCTAGAATGGTATATGTGGGAAGGGCTTGTGCTTCAATTAATGAAGACAAAAGTAGTAAATCTTTTGAAAATATTCCTTGGGGTTATTATGCCATTTAGGTTAAGGGAGTTTCTCACCAAAGTTGAGAACTGTTTGCACCTAAACAGCATTTAAGAAGTGACTGTGCACTCCACTTCTGTATCCAGAGTTTTGGGGTCATCAAGACTGCGTTCTCTCTTGCCTGTGGCATAGCCATCAGGCGTGGCAGGTGCAGGAGCTGGTCAAGGGCACCCTCCGGCCAGGTGCTTTCCACTAGGTACCTGGGGTCAGGTGCCCTCAAAGGCCCTTCATAAAACTGGCCAGTCCTTACATACACTGCTTACTGGAAACATGGCCATTTGCTTGGTATTTTATATTCATTTGGTATTTTATGTTTTAATATCACAGGCAAATCTGACCAAAACGATATTTGTTTTCAAAGCCAAGTTTCTTCAGAGCTTGTCAGCAAAGCTTCAGAGTTGAAGGTTGCTGCATGGAAATGAAATCAACTCTGGGCCTTTGACACAATGAATTGGACTTAGGTAATCAGTGGAGCTGGGGGGAGGGGGACATTAGGACAATTCATGCGTAAGGGACAGCATGTGCGTAAGGCAGGTTTTAATTTGAGTTTATGATGGCAAAGTCCCTGTTGGTTCAGTTTTCTAAGTCAGAAGGGGATAGATTGAAGCCACTGTTTTAACTCTTGGTGCAAATGCAATTTTTTTTTCTCTAACTGGTAACATTTACTAGAAGAGGAAAATCTTTTGATTGATTCAGCATTGCTACGGCCTTGCATTTTATCCTTATACCTAAGGAAATCATATATTATGTACATAGAAGGTGCTTAAGTAATATTTCATTAAAGTCTTATTGTGTACTGGCTCTATGCTCAATCCTCATCCCACCTGAATGACCACATCTATTTCTCACAGTGATGCCGTGAGATAGGTAATCATTTAACCTGCTTTACAGATGAGGAAGCAGAAGCTGAGCGGTTAGGAAGCCTGCCCCAGGGTGGATAGTGTGTTAGAGGCCAGACAGGACTCCAGCCCTGAAGCCCGCACTCCCACCCACCACGTTCTGTGTACTGCTTATTAACATCTATGGGCTGAAAGAATATAAAGGTGGCCTAGATTTAGTGGGGATGTCATACGAGACTCACATATAAGATGGGTACTGAACTTGGTGCTTCCAGATCCTTCCCTCACTCTGAATTTGTGTCCATAAGCCTTCTGCTTATGTCTCCGAAAGCACCACTTCCCTGTATGGGACACACCCCTCCGCCCCATGCTTTCAGTCATTCTGGAATTCAAAGGACAGTTAGGCAGCTTTGCGCTCTGACTTCTTGCCAGCTCTGGGACCTTGGAGAGTACTTGCTACTTAAACTCCACCTTGCTCTTAAAGCAGAGTTAAAACATAATGACCACAGTTCTAGCTGCTAGGCTAACCTAGGTCTATAGTTCACATTAAACATTAGCTCATATCGCCTCCAGGTTTGAAACCAGTGTACCCAGAAGAAATTTGCAAAGGGACAGTGATGTTGAAATATTTTAAGTGCAAACAGGAGGACTCCTGTCTGCTGACAAGGACAAGGCTATGTTGTCTAAAGTCCCTATTTGATCCTCATTTTTCCATCCCTTCCCAGTGGCCTTTTCCTCTCTGGATCTTCAGCAATCTTGTGCCTGAGCATCCAACGCACTCTTTCTTAAATGCCTCTGATGAAATATGTATATGTAGAATCCCTTACTTCATCCCCAAAGAGGTCACTTTCGTATAGTTTCTCCCTGGGGGGATAGTATTGCTACTGCTGACCAGTTGGCAACACTCAAGATTTGGAACACCAGAGAAAAATTTTTAAATGCTCATATTCTGAGTATAGAGGGGATTTGGGCAGCAGAATCGTTAGTGGGGGTTACTGCACCCTAACTTTTGCTTCCCCCAGGCCAGTGTTTGGTGCACAGGCTTTTGGCTGCTTACGTTTTATTGCCTTCTAGTGGGAACTGGTCTCTCCACCCATTCTCACTGTCTGTGATCTCAACTCCCTACCGTTGTGCTGGCCGGAGGATGCAGCTAGAGGGTGGGAGAGAATGAAGAGAGAGAGAGTGGGATGCCGTCATTTAGTGCTTGAATTGGCTAAAGATGTAAGCCTGTCCACTTCTTTTCCTGGTCAAAGCAAAAAATGTGTAGGAGTCAAGTGAGCAGGGTGTTGATCAGGTATAAAGGACTGAATAGGTAGATGTTTAATTTATCTTATGGGAGCTTTGGGAACCTGGACTCTGATAATTTCCCTGTAATGAATCCGTCTCTCAAGACTCCTTTTCCCAAAGAAAGCATTGTCTTCTGTAACCTGTCCAGATACTTCTTAACATTTTGCTTGTCAATGTGACTGCCAGCGTCTTAGAGACATTGACTGTTTAGGCGATTTCTATTAGCAGAAAAATATGGGCGCAAAAGCTTTTCTTCTAAATGAATGTGTTGTGTAACATCCAAGCTGACTCAGAATACAGGTGCATGCTTTAGCTCTGAGAAGGTAGAAGAAGGGGGAGAGCCCAAGCCTGACAAGGTGTGGGGGAGGAAGGACAGCACCCAGTAGCACACGCCACCTTGTGTTGCAGTCTTCGCCTAAACTGTATCTCTGGGAAAGAGTTCCTGGCTGCCTGTTTGTATCCCTGAGTCACCACAGACCCCCACCCCCCAACGTGGGATATTAACCTTGGAGCAATATGGAGATTAGCTGCAGAGCTGAAGCAGAGTCCCAAAGGGGCTTCAGTTCTGCAGAATCTACACAGCCTACTTTACCATACATTGGCCAGACGCTAGCGCTCGGGACGTCCGAGCTGACGACTGGAATCCCTCAAGGTAAGAAAAACCCCCTCCCAGGAAATGGACTCCTCCAATTTTCTCACATGATTATTCAGGCACTTTCACTTTTCCATATATAGGAGTCACTCAGGAGCAAGCTATGACCAGTCGGTGGGAGTGACACATCTGCGCTCAGTTCCTCCCTCCTCACCATCCTCACCTCCCTCTCACGTGCTTGCGGGCCGTTGGGCAGAAGTGAGCCCCGTGGCTCTGCCAAAGACAAGCCTGTTGGGTTTACAGAAGGGGAAAAAAAAACAAAAAACCAACAAAACCAAAAACCCAAACAAACCTCAGGCAAAGTCACGGCATTGAAATCGTTACCCTTGAAGAAACTGCGTGGAGAAGCGTGCAAAGATGAATGGCCCGGTGGATGGCTTGTGTGACCATTCTCTAAGTGAAGAAGGAGCGTTCATGTTCACATCGGAGTCGGTCGGAGAGGGACACCCGGGTGAGTAGGTGGTCGTGGGCCCATGGCAGCCGCGGCCAGGGGCGTCATTTCACGAGAGGCCTTAAAAACAGTTTGTGTTGGTTACTCTGTAGGACCTCTGGAGGCACAATATGAGGTGTTTTTCATTCTATTAATTTGTAGTTTTGTAAAACAGTCACTGAGTATGAAACGAGAAGTGGCGAGGTAATGAAGCTGAGGGCTCGTGCTGTGCCCACCTCCTCCACCCACAGCAGAGGACACAGTGGGTTGACGGAACATATTATACATGGGATATTATATCATCAAATATCAACTTTATATATATTTTTGGGGAGCGGGGAGGATACAGCTTTATTATTGTTGAGTGACTCAAGTTAACAGATAATCTTCCCTCAGACAAGACCACAGTCACTGAGTTTGGCATGTAAGGCACATGCAGTCTAGGCATGAACAGCACATTCTAGTAGTCGCTGAGATAGTTCACCAGGTCCTGAAGGCCTCAGGTATGTTACCTGAGAGAAGTAGAGGTGACCTCCTGAAGAGGAAGAACATTCGAGCAGTTTTTGGTGATCTGGGGAAATGGGAGAGGCTCACACATGCGAACAGTGAGGCCCATGATCAGAGCCTCAGGTTGGAGATCAGTGGTTCTCAGACCTCAGGGATAATCGGCGTCACCCGGTGGGCTTGCTAACACAGAGTGTTGCGCCCACCCCCAGAGTCTCTGATTTAGTAGGTCTTGGGTGAGGCTCAAGATTTGCATTTTTAATAAGTCCTCTGCTGCTGTGGGAACCACACTCTGAGAACTACTGTTCTAGAAGAATCCTGGGGGCTAGACACACTGATTTATGTCTTTGAGCACTTCTTCAAAATTCATTTGAGTATTTGAAGTTTTGGTAACTTATCACCAAGGCTACCTTTTCTTCATTTTCGTCATCCATGTTCTCTCATACCTTGTAACTCAGCTCTGGACATCTCACACCCACCACTCTTTCCATATGCTTTAGCCAGTGGTTCTCAACAGGGGGCGATGTTGCCCCTTTTCCCCTAAGGGCATTTTGCATTGTCTGAAAACGTTTTTGGTTGTCTGCCATAACTCTGCCATGAGGGGTTGGGGTGCTATGGGCACTTAGTGGATAGAGGCCAGGCGTGCTTCTAAACATCCTGAATGCACAAGACCCTCCTCCCGAAAACAAGGAATTTTCCAGCCCCAAATGTCAACAGTACCGCTGTTGAGAAACCTTGGCTTAAGCTGGGTTTTGTAGGTGACTTAGCACAATTCAAAACAAATAGCCTCTTTCATTGTGCACAACTTTATAAAGTCTCTAGATCTACAATGCTCATAACCTCGGATTCATTTCTGTGTGTAACACATGAAGACCATACATGGGTTAGGAGAAGGATTTGCTCCACTCAGAGGATGTGGACATGCATCCTTAACACGCAGTGGCCAGTGGTCCCCTCGTATATACAGCAGTGCGCTCAGTGGACAAAGAAGAAAAATTCTAGCCAACCATTTAGCTGTTTTGTCCACTTCATGGTAGGCTTTCAGTTTGTCTGACTCTCCTTTCACTTGCCACAATCAATTAACTGTCCATGTAAGTCAGCTTCCCCTAAGGCTTGGTGATGGCTTGCTTGTCATTCCAGTGCTGACTTCTCTACCAGGAGGATAATATGCATGCTTTTTTCAACTTCCAAGAAAACCAGCTATTGGCTACCTTAAAGCTACTGAGCGATATTGATAGAAATTCTGAAAACCTAAAGAGACTGTTCAGATAGGGCCTCCTTAGGCATTCCTTTAGTCTGTGGAGCTATGTTAACACGTCTTGCTTAGCTCCAGTTTTATCCCTAACACCCCTTATCCCACTTCCCTGTGTGGACTGGGGACATGTGACCTGCGTCCTTGGAAGAAGCAGAGTCAGCCATAGTCGGCATGTGAGTAGCCCTAGGAGTCCTGATGGGTAGGCCTAAAAGGGATATTTTAGCAGCAGGCCTTCATTGGTAGGGGTGTGCAGAGGGGGTGGCCTTGGACAAACCTAGATTTACAACCAGGATCTGACACTGGGGGGAGGTTGCACAGAGACCCTCAAGGTGTAGTAGCAGTTTCTGAAGGAAAGTTTAGAGAATTCACCTTGAATGGCAGATCAATATTTTAAGTTGCATTGACGTTAACATTTTAAATGGTGCACTTGTGAGAGCAGAACCACTTGATTCTGGATCTGGATCCTTAATATGAAAACTGAAAAGCAAAAACAAAACAGAAAGACACAAGGAAACTTTTGGAGTGATGGATATGTTTATTACCTTGTTTATGGTGATGATTGCATAAGTGTATTCACATGTCCAGACTCCCCAGATTGTATACTTTAATTTTATGCAGATTTTTGTACACCAATTATACCTTTATAAACCTGGAAAAAAACCTTATTAATCTATTAAGTGCAAACTCTATGGGTATTTTGAACATTAAATGAGATGTAATATGTGTAAATAGATGTCACTTTTATTTCTGAAACTGTGAACAGTGACAGTTCACACAACCCCAACACAAGAGTGGATTTTTCCAATGTGCAATGCATTGAGGGTCTGCAAGCTCAACCATGTAGAGTCCTTAAGGCAAGTAGTGAAAAAAGAAGATCAAATCCCAGCTTATGCTGAGCCGTTGTCAGTCCTACCTTGACTGAGGTCAAACCCAGCTATTAGGACATCTAGCCTTCAGGAGGCTGCGTGGCCATGGGCATGACCTGAGAGCTGCTTATGGAAAAGTTCTGCAGAACAGCAGTGATGTAGAGAGGCTCTCTTCTGGAATTCCTGTGGGTGGGGTGGTGGATTTGGGCGTAGCATCGTATATACAGTACTCTGCAGCTTCTAGAACCTGCGGAGCAACGTATCTGTTTGTCCCACCTGATTTTACGAGTTGGCACCTAATCTTACCAATGTTGTTAGCTATTTTAACTTCTATTTCTAGGAGTTTTCTAGGTTTCAGACTTAAAGGGAATATCTTGAGGAACAAGAGGCTTTTTAGTAGGAGAATGTGTGTGTGTGTCTATGTGTGTGTGTGTGTGTGTGTGTGAATTGCTTTAGTCTCTTAGAAGTGATTTGGGGATGTATTTCTTTATTAGGGAATGCTATGAGTTTATATAATATAAGTCATCCAAAATTAGGCAGAAATGGGAAGAAATAAAAATTTCAAAAAGTTCCTAATTTTTTATATGTAAAAAAGTGTCCTCTTAGGTAGGTAAATTTGATATGTAAACTTACCAAATATCTAATTATTTTAACATTTCAGTTTGTATTACCTAATATTTCTGTGATTCTCACACATGTTCGTTCTTGTGCAGACAAGATCTGTGACCAGATCAGTGATGCCGTGCTGGATGCCCATCTGAAGCAGGACCCCAATGCCAAGGTGGCCTGTGGTAAGAAATGCCCGCTCCCTCCCTGCTGAAGACCTCAGCGGGCTGGGCTCGAGGCCTCTGCCTGTGCCTGTGCTGGGGCTCTGGGCACAGCAGGGAGTCAGGGGTCCCAGCACCTGGAGGGCCCCCGAAGTGATCATGGATGCAGCTGAATCAGGGCCTTGGCCAAGGTCCCCGGAGAGGGGGTGCCCGCATGGAGACCAGCAGAGCCCCCCTGTCCTCACTGTGTGCCACACAGACGGCTTCCCCCCTCTCCAGCGCCGCCCTAGCCCCTGCACTGGGCGCCGCAGGGACCTGTGCCCTCTGAGGGTGGCCCTCACCCTGATATCTTTGTGACTAGCCAGTGAGAAGCTTGGCCCGCCTTGATCTCAGGATCTCAGCCTGTGGTGCAGCGTTAGCAAGAAGGGGCGGGAGAGGCGGCCCGGATACATGCTATATGACAGCCGACTACCCCTGTGGTCTCACCCTGATCCACACAGCGGTCCAGTGGAACTGTGGTCTTCAGGTAGCAGACGGGCAAGCAGACTGAGAGAGGTTAAATAAGTGGTTCAAGATGACGCGAGCAGGAGGTGGCTTGCTGGCTGCGAAAGCGAGGTGTGACCTGTTCTGTCCAAAGTGTAGTGTCCCGGGCGGCATCTGCCCATGCTCAGCACTTCTGCTGGGGTTTACTCTGTTTGTTAGCATTATTCTCTTATGTCCGGAATCCATGCCTTGTGAGACCCTTTGTGAGAGGTCTGGGAGGGGGGCCCCCCTCCGCTGGCTCGTGGCCGCCGACTGTTCTCCCTGTCTCGCAGAGACGGTGTGTAAGACGGGCATGGTGCTGCTGTGCGGCGAGATCACCTCCACGGCCACGGTGGACTACCAGCGGGTGGTGAGAGGTGCCATCAGGCACATTGGCTACGACGACTCTGCCAAGGGTGAGGCGGGGCCCCGGGTCTGAGATGCGTGGGCGTCCCGACGCTGCATGCGAGCTGAGGCTCTCGGTCCTCGGCTAGTGCAAATACCACCAGGAGGAAAACATTCCTAGACCCGCTTGGCAGGGTCGGGGGTCAAAGTCTCTGGCGACAGCATGGTGGCCCACGTGATGGCGCCCAGTTGAACTACCGCGTGTCTGTCCGTCCGTCCGTCCTTTGTTGACTCTGGTCTTCGTGGTGCAGGCAAAGGCTTTGGAAGAGAGAAGCACCCACTGAGTAAGGGGAGCTGCCCCCTGCTGGGGACGTGTTCTCTGCCAGGCCCTGGGGCTGCTCTTTGCAGGTGTCCTTTTAACTGTTTGAGACTCTCTGCCCTATTCCTCCTGCAGATGAGGAAATTGAAGCTTGGGAATGTCCATAATTTGCGTAAGGTGACCGCCAGCAGGTGGCTGCCCATGTGGACTCCTGTGCTTTCTGCTTCCATATGCTGCTTCTCACGATAGACAGAGAAAAAGGCGACTCCGCCCAGAACTGGTACCCATGGCAGGTGAAGGGGACAGGCTGGCCGAGGTGGGCTCCAGTGCCAGGCAGTGTGGGAGCCTGCATTCCAGGGAAGGGACACAGGCCCTGGCAGGAAGTGAGGAGGAGCGCCGTGATCAGGGCGGGCGTAGGGGGAGACAGCTGGCAAGAACAGAAGGGCGCAAAGCAGATTCCAACATCTGAGACGGGGCAGGCCAGGAAGGGGCCCAGCCTGGAGCGGCCTCAGAGAACAGCATGCGAGCCAGATGCTAAAGGCCTGTGGGCACTGACCTCCCAGCTACTGGGTCTTTAGGGTGACGTGTGCCGCCGCCGTGGGTCAGGGCAGGCTGGAATGAGGCACTGCACCCGTATGAGCGAGAGCCCCTCGCCCCTGAGGGTGCAGACACAGAAGCTCAGCGCAGCCGCCTTCGGAGCCGCCCAGAGCACTCATTTAAGCACATGAAAGTTTGGGGGGGCCATGTCAGGAATCAGCAGGAGGAGAACCAGTGAGCACAGGCAAAATCTCCCAGTCAGCGCATGAGGGTGTTCATAGAGGAAACACTCTGTCCCCAATCAGCAGCTTCCCCACATGCCACCATGCAGAGCCGTCACCCTGTTCTACAAGGAAAAGCCGATTGTTTATATACGTGTAGACCTTATTCAAGAGCAAGTCTTGTTCTGCACTAGGTGGAAAGGAAACTTCCCAGGAGGCCATGTCTCCTAGAGAGAGAGAAGCGAGAGAGAGCCCAGCTCTGCTGTGCCCAGCTTGTCCCCGTGCCCATACCCAGAGGACCCCGCGCAGCATGGTGGCTGCCTTAGGGGGGCCCCCAGGCTAACTGCCCCTTACGGCTCTGGGCCACAGTCACGGACTGGCTGCCATTCTGAGCCCTGCTCCTCTCCCCTTAGTCCCCTGAATTCCATGTTTCCTAATCACTTGGAGCCCTTGATGGATTTGCAGCGCTGAGAAGATTCACCATTTAGAGAGTGATTAGGAAAAATGCAACATGTTTAATGCACAATGGTGAGTCCTTGGCAGCCCTCTAAAGATGGTTCATTGGTTTGTGTGTCCAAAAATGTTTGCTGGGAACAGGAAGCTGCAAGGGACAAAGGCGTCTTGATGCTCCTGGAGGGGGGCACGCCTGGCATTAAATGGTGCAGTGTGAGGTGCCCTGTGGCGAGTCGGTGGCACAGTGTGCAGTGAAGGGAGGGAGGGGGAGGGGAAGTCTAGGGCCGTCTAGGGACATTTACTGAGAGCTGGTTGGATTTGGGTGTGTGGGGATGGACAGTTGGAGGAGGAGGAGTATTCTACACAGAGACACCTAGTGGAGGTAGAAAAGCGAGCCACACTGAAGGCTACACTTAAGTGCATTTGGCTAGAGCGGTTCAGCTGGGAGGGGCTGGGTGGAGCTGAGGGGCTTGGGCTCTGCTGCATTTGGCGGGGGGTCCCCACATGAAGCATGTACAGAAACAATAGACTGGATCTGGGTTGGTTGGTTGGTTGGTTGTAGTAAGCTCACACTGGCAGCCTAGGTTGAATAGACTGGGAAGAGTGACAGTTACTCAGCTTGTCACTAACACTTGGCCTTGTGGTGGAGCCTCTGTGATTTTCAGCCCCTCATTCACACAGTCCGCATGGCTGAGCCCAGCAAGGCCCGAGGACCTACAGGGAGATGAGTGTGCTGTCCGGGCGTGGCAGCCCCTTCCCCGGGCTCCTTGGGCTGGGCTGCAACTGGCCAAACCTCCGTGAACCAGTTCCAGGCCTGCTGCCCCTTGCTGGGGAGAACAGCCTCCATCTCCGTGCCTGACCTTTGGGGATGGGCAGACGGGGCCTCAGCCTCCAGAGGGGTGCCTTTTCCATTTTGCTCCAAGCCCTGTGCATAGCCTGGGATCAGAGGACTCTAGGTCTGGGAGCATGTCTGAGTAATTCCTGTGCACTGTATTTGTCCAATATATTTAATACCTGCATCAGGCACATCCCTGGGCTTCCAAACTGCAGTGCTGGAAGGCGATTTTCAGCCTGGATCTTAGAAGGTGCCTAAGGGGGCAGGGCCATGAGTCACCCACCTACTCTTCAGCCAGAGTGGCTGTAGCTCTTGATCTGGTTTTTATATTGCAGTTCTGTGCAGGATATATATATATTTTTTAATTTTATTTATTTATTTGAGAGAGAGTGAGTGCGCGAGAGAGAGCATGAGAGGGCAGAGGGTCAGAGGGAGAAGCAGACTCCCTGCCGAGCAGGGAGCCGACACGGGCCTCGATCATGGGACTCCGGGATCATGACCTGAGCTGAAGGCAGACGCTTAACCAACTGAGCCACCCAGGTGCCCTAGGATATATATTTTTAATCTGGATATAATTTAATATAGTAAAATGCACTGTGGAGGATTTTCTTTGACTTAGAGTTCCAGATGATCATATGGGAAGGCTGCATGGGCTTCCTCACCCCTGGGCCTCAGCTTTGAGCCCAGACAGACCCCAGCTGGTGAGAGACCACCCACCCCAACACCAAATGCCACGTCGGGAGCAGAGCAGTCGGCCAGGAAGCTCACAGCCACGCTCTGCCTGACCTGTGTTCCCCACTAAGGCCCACTCTCCCTTCTGCCTAGGCTTTGACTTCAAAACCTGCAACGTGCTGGTGGCTTTGGAACAGCAGTCCCCGGATATTGCCCAGTGTGTACATCTGGACAGAAACGAACAGGATGTTGGGGCCGGAGATCAGGTAACTAAACAGGGAGCGTGGGCGCCTTGTCAGGTCGTCGGGATAGCACTGTCTGTCTCCGCCCTGGCTCGGAAGGTCACGAATGCTGGATTGAGCACAGTCCCGTGCAGATGGTGCGTGCACGAGGTACCCAATACACACTGGAGTACCAGCCAGGTGTTAGATTGGAAGCAAGTTGTCCTGTCGTCTAAAGTGGGCCTTGCTCAGTCGGCCCTCTCCCCTGCTATAGGGTTTGATGTTCGGCTATGCCACCGACGAGACGGAAGAGTGCATGCCCCTCACTATTATCCTCGCTCACAAACTCAACGCCCGGATGGCAGACCTCAGACGCTCTGGGGTCCTCCCCTGGCTGCGACCTGACTCCAAGACTCAGGTGAGCCTCCTCCTTTCGCTCCCCCCATGGAGCCCAGACACACCCTTCCAGCGTCCCCAGGCCCTCTTGATTCGTGTCATGATTAAGATAAAAATGTTCAGTCAGGACGCTCAAAGAATTATTGATTGTGAAAAGAACTATTTATTTGAAAACTCTTCAGGTCTAGATGTTTTCTCTCCCAATTTTTTTTTATTATGAAAAAATGCTTAAAATACAGAAAAATGGAAAGAACTGTTCTAGATTTTTCTTTTTTGCCTTCTTAGCATATGTTGACTCTGGTCATGTGATTCCCTGCCCCCCCCCCCCCCCCCTCACAGTGCTTAATCGGTTTCAGACTTTTGGTCACTGCCCTTCCACCTCACAGGCCTCCACCCCTTGAGCAAAGACTGAACACTGAGTTGACAAGTGCTGTCTGCGTCTCGCTGTGGCCCTTTACCCCTGTTTCTCATGAAAAGGCTTTCCCTTTGCTATTTTGGACTCTCTGTCCCCTCGGGCCCTGACCTCGCCCCTCCAGGCAGGGGGAAATCCTCACCCACGTCCACATTTGAAGGTCAGCCGTGATGCAAGTGTTAGCGGATGTGGAGGGGCCCTGTCTGCCGCCGCGCTCCGCGTCCCTGCCCTGTTTAACCCTGGTGACCCTGCGGACCCCTTTCCCGGGGCTTCCTCCCTGGCTCCTCTTCCGCCCTCCAGCAGGTCCTTGGCACCTCTTGCACACCCTCTCCCTCCACCAACGCTCACGCCCAGTTTCCACTGTGTCCCACTTGGAGCCCCAAGCTTCTACCTGCAGGGTCTCTGAATCAGCGGCCGTCTTTCTTTTTTTTTTTTTTTTTTAATTTTTTTTATTCTTATGTTAATCCCCATACATTACATCATTAGTTTTAGATGTAGTGTTCCATGATTCATTGTTTGTGCATAACACCCAGTGCTCCATGCAGAACGTGCCCTCCTCAGTACCCATCACCAGGCTAACCCATCCCCCCACCCCCCGCCCCTCTAGAACCCTCAGTTTGTTTTTCAGAGTCCATCGTCTCTCATGGTTCGTCTACCCCTCTGATTTCCCCCGCTTCATTCTTCGCCTCCTGCTATCTTCTTCTTTTTTTTTTTTTCTTAACATATATTGCATTATTTGTTTCAGAGGTACAGATCTGATATTCAACAGTCTTGCACAATTCACAGCGCTTACCATAGCACATGCCCTCCCCAGTGTCTATCACCCAGTCACCCCATCCCTCTCACCCCAGCCCCCACTCCAGCAACCCTCAGTTTGTTTCCTGCGATTAAGAATTCCTCATATCAGTGAGGTCATATGATACATGTCTTTCTTTGATGGACTTATTTCGCTCAGCATAATACCCTCCAGTTCCCTCCACGTCATTGCAAATGGCAAGATCTCATTCCTTTTGATGGCTGCATAATATTCCATTGTGTATATATACCACATCTTCTTTATCCATTCACCTGTCGATGGACATCTTGGCTCTTTCCACAGTTTGGCTATTGTGGACATTGCTGCTGTAAACATCGGGGTGCATGTCCCCTTTCCAGCGGCCGTCTTTCTCATCCACCCTGCAAACACCTGTGCCCGAGAGCCATCGTGTGCAGCCTCAGTGTCACCTCCCCCTCAGCTCAAGGGAGTGTGGTGGTGCCCCCCCTCCTGCTCGGCACCTGTCTCCACCCTGCCTTAGGCGTTTTCCCTCCAGAGCATCTCTTCTTCTCCAGCCTGGTTCCCAGGGCCAGGATCCACACCGTGCCCTCCCGAGGATTCTCCCTGCCTGGAAACTCCCCTTAACTCCTTTGGGACTTTTTATTTATTTATTTTTAATTATTATTATGTTCAGTTAGCCAACATATAGTAGAATCCTCTGCAGTTGTCTGCTTCCTACAGGGGGACAAACCCCCTGCTTGTTATTCTGGTATTCCAAGCCTTTTATGGTCTTCCGGTTTTACCTTCCTCTACCTCCCCTCCCCCAGTCGGCTTAATCTGGCTGATTTCACTCATGTTCCCCTTGTTTCCAGTGCTTTGCACCTGTGCTCGCACCCTCCACCTTACCTGGAATCTTCTCGGTTCTCCCCTGTCCATCAGTGGCCAGCAAAGCTCCCACCTCCTATGGTTTTCCCTGGTGGCCACCACCTCATGGGGCCTTCTCTGGCTCCTGTGGTTGGAATTCAGCACATGTGGTTGTGCAGCTCAGCATGGAGCATGTGACTGTCCCGTTACCCCATCTGCACCGAGGTGCATCCTTCTCAGCCCAGGTGGGAGGCCTTGCAGCTCGGCTGAACCTGGGGCAAGGAAGTGCATTTGCGGCCTCAAGCAAACCCTTCGTGGTGTTCTCCACGTGACCCCTTGGTGGGGAGTGGAACCCTCAGCACTTCCCAGGGGTTCTCTGAGGTTGTGGGGCAGGGGAGCTATCACGCAAAGACTGTGGTGGCATCAGAAGAGAGGGGCACACAGGTGCTGGCGTGCCCGGCCTCGTCCTGGGCCCGAGCCCCGTGCTGTGACGGGAAGTGCGGTGGAGATTCGCAGAACACAATCGTGGAACAGGGGTGGGAGAAGCTGAGCGACAGGGCTTTCCTTTTCCTTGTGTGACAGGGAGGCCCGGAGGCACCCCCGTGGGACCGGCCGAAACAGGGAAGGCCTGCATCATCTCGCTTAGTCCTTGAAGGCTTCCAAGCCCATGGGGGGTGGGGGGAGCGAGGATGTGCTCTTTGGGGGCTCCCTTCCTGCAGGGCTACACGGAAACCTCTTAAGGCTACTTTGGATACCGAAGTCCGCCTCACTGGCCTGCTGCGGGGGGGGGGGGGGGCGAGCCCCTGGCATTGCAGGGGCACAGGTAGGGGTCTGCCCCGGCCGTCCGAGGGTCCCCGCCCGCGGCTGCCTCACCGTGGGCCGCACGGTATCAGGATCGGTTTCTGGGCCGGCTCCAGAGCCCATCTGGCAAGGACTTTCATCATCTAAGCAGAGTGTTGACTGTGAACAGGATGAGTCTTTCCACCTGAACAAATTCTTGCTGCTGATATAGAGACTCCAGTGGCAGGGCGGATGGCTATTTTTATACCTGGTCAGAGTTGTGTTTTCCATGGTGTATTTTTCCCCACATCTTGCTGACATGGGGAGATAAGGGGCTTACTTGGAACCCTTTGCCCTGCCGCAGTTGTGTGGTTCTACATGGATGCTGCCCGGGGCTTACGGCTGGCTGAGCGGGAAGTCCAGGGAGCGGGGGAGTGGTCCCAGAGCCGGCCACAGGCCTCCCCTCCTGGGAGCCCCCACCCCAGCTCTGGCTCCCTGTCGCAGCTGTGTGTACGTAGCCCAGCATTTAAAGGTTGTGCTTGAGGGCGCCTGGGTGGCTCAGATGGTTAAGCGTCTGCCTTCGGCTCAGGTCATGATCCTGGGATCGAGTCCCGCATCAGGTTCCCTGCTCAGTGCAGAGCCTGCTTCTCTCTCTCCCTCTGCCACTCCTTCTGCTTGTGCTCTTCTGTCTATCTCTCTGTCAAATAAATAAATAAAATCTTTAAAGAAAAAAAAAAAAAAGGTTGTGCTCGGTACGCAGACGTACCTGCCTCTCGAGCTAGAATCAGACATCACGTGGGCAGGGCTCATTCTCTTCCTCCTTCTGGACTCCACCCTCTGGCTCTTCGAACCAGGCAGGACACAGAGTAGGAGTTTGAAACAGGCCGGTGTTTGGTGGATATCGGAGGGCCCTTGGGCAGGCAGAGATCCTGCTGCAGGCACAGCCCTGGGGAGGCTCTGTTGGCTGTCCCGAGGTCCTCTCAAGGCCCTGGGGCAGGACGTTGCTACCAGGGACAGCTAGCCTAGATGCATTCCTGCAGCCCCCACATACCCCAGGCCCCCCAGCCCGGTGGGTCCACACTGCCTCGGGGGGCACTGGGGCCTGTGGCTCCCATGTGTCCCTCAGGGCCCTGAGTGGTAGCCTTCTGCTGGGCAGAGCCCCAGCTACTGGGCCACATAGCCCCAGGGCAGAGCCCAGCTCTATCAGCTGTGTGATAGCTTGGTCTTGACCAAGGTACTTAGGTTCTGAAAGCTCAGCTCTCCTATCTTTAAAACAGGGCGAGCAACAGCTTCCCACAGCTTTGGGCACCTCTTCTAGCTGCTTTCCCAGCTTCACCTGCTGTCCTCACTGTCCCCTTCCCTCTCGCTCTGCAAGTGTGGTGTGCCCAGACTAGTAATGCCCAGAATGGGCACAGCACTGACCCAGTTGGGTAGAAGTGAGCATTTGAACTGCTCACTTGCAGGGGTACTGCAGGCGGGCTCCTTCCTCCACGTGCTCTCTGCTTTTTCCTTTCTTTAGCTCAGATACCCAGAGGCTGGCCATCCGGAGCTTGCTGCCCCCTCAATTTCAGCCAGCCTGACCTGAGCCCCTCTCACCCTGTCCCTCCAGCAGGCAAGTCCCCCGGCCCCATGCACTTCCAGAGCTCTTCCACTGAGGGGCTGGGGCAGCCGGCCTGGCCTTTGGACGCCTGTGTTCCTTGGCAGAAGCCAGGATACCTTGGCTCCAGGCCGTGGAGTGTCAAGAGAGGACTTTGGCCAGGGGGACATTCGTTGGCACCCAGAGCCCTCTGAGACAGAAGGGGAGGAGTCTAGTTGGGCCACAAATGAGAAGAAACTCTGTAACCCTGAGTCTCTAAGGGGGCACTAATAGGGGTCATAGGTGGGAAGAGCTTATGCCTCATACCCAGTCAGCCCATACATAGCACGTGGCAATTGCTCCAACATAAGAAGATGTCAGATTAACTTTCCTGCAGGCCCTCAGAGGACAGGGGGCCCCCCCTCACTTGGCTCCTGGGTGTCTGTGCCTGGCAGTGATGTGTCCTCAGCTCAGCTCATCTCCTGCCCTTGTGACCCACAGGTGACAGTTCAGTACACCCAGGACAATGGCGCGGTCATCCCCATGCGCATCCACACCATCGTCATCTCTGTACAGCACAACGAGGACATAACCCTGGAGGACATGCGCAAGGCTCTGAAGGAGCAGGTGATCAAGGCTGTGGTGCCCGCCAAGTACCTGGACGAAGACACCATTTACCACCTGCAGCCCAGCGGGCGGTTTGTCATTGGCGGTCCCCAGGTGCGCCCTCGCCTCTGAGCAGAGGCCTGATTTGCCTTTGTTACTGGGGTTGCTTACCTGCTGAAGCACAAAGAAAGAGGTGGCTTTGTGTGGCTCAGCCACGTCTGGGCCTGGACAGAACATGAGGTCGGCTCGCACTCCATGGGGCCTGCTGTGTGTGCATCAGTGCATGTGGGACCGGGGACATGTCCCCAGAACTCTCCCCCTAGTGCGGCCTGGCCTCCCCTGGTCATACTTACCTATGCTGCTACCTGGCCCTGCTGAGACACTGACTCACCCTTGCAGATGACTGGCCTCCCCAGGTGGCAGTACGGGGTCTTTGCCACAGGTTGCCTTCAACTTGTGTGGGGGCAGGTGTTTTGATGGGGACCCCTGCTGCCCCCTTTCTTCTCTCTCTCCAGGAGAGAGGAAGTGGGGATTGGCAGAGCACCCCGGAGAGGCTGCTTGACCTCTGCCAGGGGTGCCTCAACTGGGGATGTGTTGCCACCAAGCGGAGCCCCCATAGTGGGTTCCGTGACCGAGTGTCTTACAGAAGCACAGGGTAAAAGAAAGGCAAAGCTTACTGTCCTTTCTTGTAGGACTTCTCAAAGCCTAGATGTGCTGGTGGGAATGGTGGGTCTCTAAGCAGGGGGATAGAGTACGCAGTCTTTCCCCAAAGCACCGAACACGGAGCCCCTGCCCTTTCAAAACATGGTGGTTGCCTGATGCCGCACAGAGCAGACACGGAAGGAAATGGGCACCGTGGCATGTGCTGGGTGCCACCAGCCAGGGCCACAGCCCAGGGCGTACTTAGCCCAGTCCCTGCCTGCAGTTGGATTTCTCCAGCATGACTGACTCATACAAGCAAAGACTGAGGTAGGAGCTGGCTGGGATTCCAGAGAACCTCTGGCCCATCGTTTGCACTTTCTCATGGGGGCTCTGGCAGGTTATCTGGCTTCTGTAATTGGTCAGTGACTGAACTGGGGTTAGAGACCAAGGTTTCCAGCTCTGGGGGGTAGGGGAGGTCTTGAAAAAAATGCCCGCAGGCAGCTTCAGGGCACCCTTTCCCCGTAAGTGCAGTGGCCGTCATCGTGCTACAGCTGCCCCCCGCCCTGCCCCCTGGGCACCCTGGTTCTCATCTCCTCCCTCCCTGTCCTCCTTTCCCTCTGCAGGGGGACGCGGGCGTCACTGGCCGTAAGATTATCGTGGACACCTATGGCGGCTGGGGGGCGCACGGTGGCGGGGCCTTCTCTGGGAAGGACTACACCAAGGTGGACCGCTCGGCGGCGTACGCAGCCCGCTGGGTGGCCAAGTCCCTGGTGAAAGCGGGGCTCTGCCGGAGAGTGCTCGTGCAGGTGGGTGGGCCCCACTCTGACCACCCCATCTCGGCCCCGGGTGAGGACGTGCTGGCCGGGTGGGACGCCCACACACTTTGCCAAGGGCACTGGGGCGTGTACCCTGAAAACCTGAGGGAGGGAAAAAAAATCTTCTAGGAGACAGGCATACATCACTGTGAAGATGGTGGGGATTTTTCTAGGCAGACAAGGTTGGGGAGCACGTTGGGCAAGTGGGTGGTTCCAGCTGCCCCTCCCTGAGGACGTTTGCACAGACGCTTCTGCCCTTGACCCTGCTCTCTTCTGGAAGGTTTCCTATGCCATTGGTGTGGCTGAGCCACTGTCCATTTCCATCTTCACCTACGGAACCTCTCAGAAGACAGAGAGAGAGCTGTTAGATGTGGTCAGTAAGAACTTTGACCTTCGGCCCGGTGTCATCGTCAGGTAAAAGTGCCGCCCACCGGTGCCGGACAGGCCCCTCCTCCTCCCTCACCCAGAGGCTCAGCTCCACTGGAAGCGAAACAGAAGGAAGGACTTTAAGCTTCCCCAAAGCAGGAGGGCCTCCAGGCTATTGGACCAGCATGACACACCCCAAATGCAGGATGCCTGCTTTGAGGCTGAAGGAGGCTGGCCCAGAGACACTCCAGTGGGGCCATCTTTGAGCAGGTGGCGGGGGAGGGTCGTAGAAGAGTAATAGTAAGGCCGAATGCTGAGAAGTAAGCCAGCAGGTCTAGTCCCATCTCCCTTTGTTTCTAATGCCATCCCTGCTTTCTGGAGCTTGGTGATGTTGTTGGTCTGCGCCAGGCCAGTGGAGTGGAGAGGAGAGGAGAGAGGCACGGTGAGGCCAGAATTCAAATTCTGGGTCCTGGGTGTGTCTTTCTGAGCCTGTTTCCTGAGGGCCAGTGACAGTCACCTCAGAAGGTGTGGTGTGGCACAGACAGGGAAGTTTATGGGAAATTGCTCTGAGTGGGGACACTCCATGCAAAGACCGTCGCACTCTGATAATCACTACTGGGCTCAAAATTCAGAGAAACTCGCTCCTTTTCCATTTAAAATGACCCTTTCCTCTGCTGACTGTGCAGGGATTTGGATTTGAAGAAGCCCATCTACCAGAAGACGGCGTGCTATGGCCATTTCGGAAGAAGCGAGTTCCCGTGGGAAATTCCCAAGAAGCTTGTGTTTTAGAGCTGGTGGGAGCGGGGCCGAGCCTGGCCCTGGAGGCGTCTGGATGGCCTGCTTCCTCTTCTTCAGCATCCCAGCTCTCACATGTCCCAGACCCAGGGCTCTGACTGCCCTCCTAGGGAGTGCCTTCCCACCCCCCACCCCCTCCTGGACCAAGCCACACCCCTAGGGTTAGCCTTGTGTTGTCATCACTGTGAATGGCAGGAGGCTTGCTGGTGCTGGATGTCACATCTCCTCAGGAGGGTAGTCACAATGTTCCCCTGCTTTTCCCTCAGACCTAGGCCATGTTCATTTAGTGGAAAAACCACCCCCGTCAAGAGTAAATCCCCTCACTCACCTCCTCCGTGAGCCGTCCGCTCCTCCCTCACAGATCTCAGGGATCCTGGGTGTGCCGGGTCTGCCCTTCACATCTGTGGCCTGTGTCCTAAGCCAGGGCCTTCACAGAGGCCTTCCGGGCTAGACATCTGGCCAAGATAGGAACAGGGACTGACATCTCCTAAGCGTCTACAAATGTGTGAAGGACTGAGCTAATCTCATTTCTTCTTTACTGCAACATGATGAGGTAACACCTCATTCCCACTTCTATAGGAAGAAACTGAGGCACAGACTACGTAGGTAACTTTCCCAAGGTCCCACAGCCACACATGTCAGGACCTAAACATGAGTCCCGGAGCTCTGACTCAGGAACCCATACGTCCCCCAGCCCCGTTGCCATCTCATGCCAGGTGCAGGCCTGAACAATGAAAAAGCAGATTTGAGATGAAGCTGTGTGACCTCTGCCCTGAAGACCCAAGGTTGCTGCGATTAGGGGATTAACCCCTGGCTCTTGGTGAGCCCAGTGATACGCGAAGTCAGGACAGAGAAGCAGCTTGTCCTAGCTCAGGTGGCCAGCCCCTTAGGGCCCTGGAATCCTGTGTCCTTCAAGTCCTTCTCTCTCTTCAGCCTTGTTGTCTGAGTGCTGTTAGAATAAGTGGGTGAGCCCCTCAGATACCCCTTTCAGAGAGGCCAGCTGTGAGGCCCAAACATCTGTGACCCAGATGGCAGGGCTGAACTCCTAGTGGTAGACAAGTTGGCTGGGATGTCATGAGGGAATCCTACCTTTGCCAGGTGGCTTCTGGGCCATGGTACCCCTGGGACCTGAGTGGTCCTCGGTGTGCTAGGGTCTTGGAAGCTGCACATTCACCTGCCTTTCCATCCCTGGCCAGTTCTACCTACCCCGCCTGTCCTCAGCCTGGGCCTTTGACAGCAGCATCTCGGCCTTCTCCCTAGCTGCCCAGACCACAGGCTGGGTGGGTGCCTCCACGGATCCCAAGAGCTGGAGACTGGGCTTCTTTCCAGGGCGTGTGCTGCTGGTTCTGGCTGGGACAGGCAGCCCACGAAGTCTCATCTGGGGAGCAGACTGCCTGCATCTGGGCTCTAGGCCTGAAGCACAAAGACCCAAGGCTCTTCTCTTTCCGTCAGAGAAAAGGCAGCTCTTCCGGGAAGAAAAAAGAAGCCTGAATTTGCATCTAAGCCTAGAGCTTGTGTCCGTTCTGGAGGCTCTGATGTGTCTGCGGGCACTGGTCACCCAGCAAGTCTCAAGCTCCTTCCAGGAGAGGGAGGTGCAGGTTTGTGGGCGGCGAGTTCCTCTCACTTGGGCCATATTAGAAGTCAAAATCACAATTGTATACGTTCCCCACCCCCTAGAGAAACAAGATCTTTTTTGGGGTCAACATTGTTTATAAGAATCTAGAACCTTTATTAATAGCTCCTGCTAGGACAGGATAAATCAAACGGAATAAACAGCACTTCAGTGAATCAAACTGAAGGAACAACTACTCTATGCTTAATTTTTGTCTGCAAACCTCCAGACACCCCACCTCTGAGGAGCATCCCCCAGGCCCGAGCAAAGGGGGGTACCCCCTCCTCTGTGTTCCCCCACCCAGGGCCCCCTGTTCCTGTCTGTGTGGGCTTCTCTGGCATAGATTAAGGCTTCCACATCCCCAGCGACTGCGTTGTCACCACATTCCTGTAATTATTCCTCACCACACCCCGCTGAGTTTCATGGGGAGAACTTGAGGCCCAGAGGGTGAGGAACGTGACCCAGGCACCCGGCTGGCAAGGGGCTCCCCAGTCTCCCAAGCGCTCCATCACCACGTGCTACCACCCTGTGGCCTGGTGCCCTCCCTGCAGATTATCTGCAGCAAGACTGTCATGAGGGGAGCACTCAGGCCATATTGTCCGTTGGCTAAATCACTGAAGTCAAATGAAGGGAGTGAAGGAGGGTTTTGGTCTGCAGAGAGATGAGCCAGACCTTTAAACAGGTTTAAAGGGGCACATCTCCCTTTCACACACTCGGTGAGGAGAATTAACAGGTGACATTTGTATTAGCAGACTGTGGGAGCAGAAGCCCCTGGAAAGATAGTCCTTGGCGGGGGGTCGCTTCCTGCACTGTGTCCTACAAGCAGGCTGTGGGGAGAGGACCCCGTTCTGGAGAAACAGCCAGGTCCAGGCTGAGGGGTAAGCCGCGTGAGGAGGCTTTGAGACAGGCTGGTCCGGGTGCCGGGAAGGGCAGAAGTGCGGCCGAGACCTGGGAATGTGGCAGAGAGGCGGAGAAAGCCGAAGGCCACAGGCTTGCATGAGACAGGATCTGTGACTTGAGCAGCCACTACAGGACCATGCAGTGACCTGCTTTTCCTAGCATATAATCCCTGTTTTGTAAGAACAGAAAGACACCATGAAACATTGGAATGCTTGCCTGAGAGGGAAGGTGGTGAAGGAATGGGCTTTATGGGCATCAAAGGCCAAATGCTGAGTGAGAGCAAGAAGGACAGCCACTTCTGAGCCACGAAGCCTTCAAGGGTCACAGTGTTGTGGAAGTGGTGAAGGACATGGGTAGGGAAGCCAGTGGGTAGGAGGAAAGCCTACCAAGGACAGTGGGGTGTCCTTGGAAGCCAAGTGAAGACGGTGTGTCTGGGGCCAGGGAGGGCTCACCCATGGGAAATGATACCAGTGGGTTGGATGATGGGAGGCCTCAGAGGTCCAGTGACTTCAGCGTGCGGAGATGGGTGGTGGCTGGGAAAAGGAAGGAGAGGCATTAAGAAGATGTAAATACAGCCATATCCTCCACCCCAACTTGTAATCCATTGGTACCTCTAATGCATGCTGAATAAAGTTAAGGGTGCGTGACCAAGCTGTCACTGTCCCATGTGCCTGCCCAGTGTCCATCTGTCCGCCCTCATTCTGGGCTCCACTCCCTGCCTCCACAGTCCAGACTCCCCAGCTTCTATGGTTTCCTCGAACAGGCCCAGTTCATTCTCACCTCAGGACCTTTGCACATGTCATTCTATGTGATACTCTTCTCCTGTCTTTAAATGGATGCTCTGTCTCATCCCTTAGGTTTCAGATGAAATTTCTGTCTTTCTGAAAAGCCCCTTCCTTGGTAACCTCCTGTTTGTCCTCCCATTTTTAGTTTCTTGTTCAGTGTCTAACACAAGTGTAAATACGAATTTCCTTGTTTAAACCTCTTTGGGGCCAACCCCCTCACGACTCCTTCCACACCTACCCTCTGAGTCCTTCCAACCTCAGTTTACAAGTCACCCTCCAGAAAGACACTCTCAAACATCCTCCATAAATCACACCCACTGCCATCTTTATCTGCTACTGGGCTTCAAAGGCTGTCATGATTTATGGATGTCAGTGCTTGCTTGTTCATGCCTGTTGCCCCCACAGGACTTGGAATTCCTGAGGTCTTACCTTGTCTGCTCTGTTTGCCACTTCATACCTGGATCCAGTGCAGGGCTTGAAACAAAGGGGGAGCTCAAGGTGGTCATAGCAGAGAATGGATTCTCTCTTGCCCCCGGAGCCCCCCTTAGCAAAGGGATTTTGGAAGAGGTGAGGATCCTACTTGCCCTCTGGTAGGTTCTGTGCCAGGCTCAGGTGCCCAGAGATATAAATTAGAATTATTCAGCAGAATTTTTTTTTTTAAGCACTCATTAAAGTGTAGCACTGTGACTGTGAGGACTTCTACAATAGTTACTTGGCATTTTAATCTTTCAACACTAGATGTGGACATGGGATGACAACAAGATGACAAACCCCATTTTCCACAGAGATGCCAGAGGAAGGTGACATTGGGCGGGGAGGCACTCAGGAGGTATAAATTGAGGATGGAGAGGAGGGACCTTGGTCTGAAAGGAGTTTTGGAGTTGGCAGAGGATGGAGGAGTAGAGAAATGAGAATTAGAAAAGAATTAGCATCTGGGCAGTGATTGGTTGGGGTGAAAGGCTTGGGGTGGGAACTTTAGAAGAAATTTTTGCCTGTGACAAATTCCCTGGAGTACGTGTGACCCAGATACAGTGTAAGAAGTAGTGTGACACAATAGCCAAGATATGGAAACAACCTAAGTGTCCATCAATAGACAAATGGATAAAGAAGATGTGATACAGATATACAATGGAATATTATTCCGCCATGAAAAAGAAGGACATCCTACCATTTTGCAACAACTTGGATGAACCTTGAGGGCATTATGCTAAGTCAGGCAGAGGTGCCTGGGTGGCTCAGTTGGTTAAGCATCCAACTCTTGATTTTGGCTCAGGTCATGATCTCGGGATCCTGAGATGGAGCCCCACATGGGGTTCCCTGCTCAGCAGGGAGTCTCCTTGAGATTCTTTCTCTCTCCCTCTCCCTCAACCCCTACTCATGCACTCTCTCAAATAAATAAAATCTTTTTTTTAAATAAAATCTTTTTTTTTTTTAAAGAAAGGTAGAGAAAGACAAATGCTCTATGATATCACTTTATGTGGAATCTTAAAACACCAAACTCGTAGAAACAGAAGAGTGGTTACCAGTGGCTGTGGGGTGGGGGAAATGGGGAGATGTTGGTCAAACGGTACAAACTTGCAGTTAAAAGATGAGTATGTTCTAGGGATCTACTGTGCAACAGGGTGATTATAGCTAGTAATACTGCATCATGTCCTTGGAAGTTGCTAAGAGACTAAATCTTAAATGTTCTCACCACAATCACGGAAACGGTAATTATGGGATGTGTTGGAGGCATCAGCTAACTCTACAGTGGTTATCACTTTGCAATGTATAGATGTATCAAATCAGCATGTTGTACACCTTAAACTTACACAATGTTGCATGTCCATTATATCTGAAAAAAGCAAAAAAAAAAAAAAAGTTGTATAACAGACACCTGGTCCCTGGGCTGTGAAGTCTCCTGCTTTCTTACCATGATACCTTCATGAGAGAGGTTTTGAGGAAGTAAAGAAAAGGGGTTGTGTTCTGGGTGCAATTCACGGCAGCCCTGGAGGCAGAAAAATGTGGGTTAAGTAAATAACTCAGTGGGAAGCAGAAAACAACCCCAGGAAATGGGAGAATTCACAACCCCAGGATCTGCATCAAGGAGGGTGCTGGGCATCCCCTAAAATAAGGTGGCTGCTCAAGAGCCATTTGATGCGGCTCTCACAGGGCAGTGTGAAGCTCAGAAGTTGTAAGGGAAATAACTTGCCAAATCTGATTTCATAAAACACAAAGGTAAAAGATGTGACAAATGAAAAATATTGGCAATTTCGATAGAATGGCATCAGATCGGTAAGAAGCAATAAAACCCAGTCGTAAATGGGCAAACTATAAGGACAGGAGTAAACAGATGTCATCAAATAAATAGGAAAAACCACAAGAAATGAAAGGTGCTCATCTCCACGTTTCAAGAAATAAAAAAACTTTAAAAAATGCAATATTGTATTTTGGCAAATAGCTGAAAATTAAAACGTTCTTAAACATCAGAGCTGGCCTCAGTGTAAAGGGGCATCCCCAAATACAGCATGACTCAGCACGAACTTTCTGGAGGGAACTTTGGTTCTTTATTCTGAAAATGTAACTGTCATGTGTGCCTGGCTTGGGTCAGAGGTTCCATGAAAATAGCGTGGGAATGCTTTGCAAGATAGGATGGGCCGGGTGGTCATGCCCTGGGCTGAGGAGGTCAGGAGGGCAAGGCTGGTGTGTGCTGAATCCAGGTGAGGGTCGGGGGGGACTCTCAGGAAAGCCCAGGTCTGTTCTCGGCCACCTAAAAGCAGGGCTCCCCTCCTCTTACCAAGGTTGAAGGGGCCACCTCTGGGGTGTTTGTGGAGACCCCGCAGGATGGCCCTGGGACACGGGGGCTGGGAGGCGTCCCAGTCTTCACAAGCCACGGCTGCAACTGCTGAGCCAGTCATGGTGGCCTGAGAAGCCGATTCCCATCCCCAGGTTGCAGAGCAGGAAGCTGAGGCCCAGGCAGGTGAGGTCACTTCTGAGGGGCCTCGTCCTGCTGCTCTGGAGGGACTGTTCCCAGCGTTGTGTGGATCCTGACATCCAGCCTCCTCCCTTAGCTATGAGCCGTGCTTGTTTTCCAGAAGGGCCAGCCTTGGGACCCCAGCTCTGCCCAGGCTTCCTGGAGATCCCTCCGGGAAGAGGAGGGGGGCCCCAGCCTCTCACTGAGTCCCCCGCCCCACCCCTTACCTCTATGGCTCCTGACTACAACCACCGGCGCCCACTTCCCTCCTGACAGGAGGTTGGATGGGGTGGGGTGGAGGCTTCTTTATGATTACAGATGACCTAGGGCTAAGTGGGCTATTCTAGTTTCATCCTTGAGCCGAGGGACCCCTAAGACAGCTGCAGAGGGCAGATCTCGGCCAGGGCTGCTCCAGCAATATTCCCAGGGAGGCTGGGCCCCTCCCCAGAGGCACTACTCTTCCCTCCACCTCTTGTACCAATCTCTGAAAGGCAGCTCTGAACATTCTCAAAGGAAGGAAGGAAGGAAGGAAGGAAGGAGGGAAGGAAGGAAGGAAGGAAGGAAGGAAGGAAGGAAGGAAGGAAGGAAGGAAGGAAGACAGGGAGGAAGGAAGACAGGGAGGAAGGAAGACAGGGAGGAAGGAAGGAAGGAAGAAGGGAGGGAAGAAGAGCATCACATAATTAGCTCTTGGACTTTGGCATCAAAACATTCAGAGTTTCTGACTTTTAAGATATTTCAATTTGTTTTGATCTCGTTTCTGTTTCTCTGCTTTCCTTGTGTTTCATTTCCCATTTCTAGTTTTCTGAGCTGCACATTGGTTCCAGTGGCTTCTAGATCCAAACTTTACTCAAGAGGGAGCTGTAAAATTTCCACATGGTTGTTTGTCCTTCAGTTTTTTCACTTGTTTCTAGTTTCATTGCCAGGCAATTACAGAGAATCATCTCTGTTACTGGTACTTTTTAAAAAGTGTTGAGGTTTTCATTGTAGTCCAAAATGGTGAAATGTTAGGATGTCACCTGATATTATCAGGATGTAGATTTTCATTTCATTTTGTTAAATATTTAAAATTATATAATATATATTTTAAATCATGTAATTCAGATATTTCTGTAGACAAGAATTTTAAGCTTTTTAAGGCTTTTTTTAGGATGCAACAGGCAAGAGAGAACAATAATGTGTGATTTCTAAGGAATGGCAAATTGAGGCTTTGTCATTCCTTCCTGCTTCCTCCCTCCCTTTCTCTTCTCCTCCTTCCCTTCCTCTTTTCCTTCCTTCTTGTCTTCCAAGACATTCGTGGAGCACTGAGCATCCTGCCCTGGGCACTGAGGACGTGGACTGAGGAGTCCAGCGGTTCCATGTGGGCATGTGCTCACCAAATGGGCAGTGAGAGGAAGGGCTTTCCAGGCAGAGGGAACTGTGTGGGCACACGATGGGATGGGTCTGCTGGGACCGTAGAAGATGAGGTTTCAGTGTAGGGTGCAGGGGTGGGGGTGGAGGGTGTGTGACTTTACTGTTCCTGTCCTCCCCTCTGTCCCTCTATAATGATGGGCCGCCCTGGTTACCAGGTGCAGCTTTGGCTCTGGGCGGAAGCCCAGTCTCCTCAGTGTTGTGACCCAGCCGGCCATGGTGACCACAGGGGCTCTTCGTCAGCCCGGGAAACGAGGCTATTAGAGCAGTGAACCTGGGAGACGCTGTGGAGTTCTGTGACAGAAGAACGTTTGGACGTGAGACCAAGTCTTGCTCGCTCTGGATTTCAGTGGGAGGTGGTAGAGGGTGTTGTGCAGGTGCCCTGGTCCTAGTTCTCTTGTTTTTGACAGATTTGTTCCGCCAGTGAAAGAGAGACACTCTGTCCAGAGAGACGAGAAACATGCCGGTAGCAGTTCTGGATGAGATCTAGAAAAATGTTTTGCCCCAGAGATAGGAGACAAAAGCCCAGAGGTACCTGATGTCCTGGACATGTATGTCTGAAGTGGTCTGGAGAGACCAACAGTAGTTCAAAGATCTTGAAGAAACATGGAAAGAACAGTTTCTTCTTCTCAGAATCAGATTCTGCCCCTTGAACTGGAAGCTCATGATGGTTAGTTCCGAGTATAGGAGGTTGAGAGAAACCCCATCACCTCCAGATGGGAGGTGTGGACTTGAGCCCAAGAACAATGAAAACGGTGATTGAACCAAAGCTTCTAGACACGGATGCTCGCGCGTCTTGTGGTGCAGGCTGAGTATTTGTCGAGGAGCACGTGCTCCCTGCCACTTAGCCCCCCTTCAGCTGCCAGGCCATCCCCTGGCCCCTGTTCTTCCTCTCTTCCCAAGGGCTGTGTTTCCAGTGAGATACCATGTGGAGGTCATGGCAGAAGGGGTTTTCTTCCATCCTTTTCCTCCAGGAACCTGGGGGAATCCTGGAGCTGGCTTCCCACGGATGCGGGTTGTCAAGCACGACCGTCAAGAAAGAATTCTTGAGACATTTCAAGGTGCAGGAAGGTGCCTTTTATTATGGCACAGGGACGGGACCCGTGGGCAGAAAGAGCTGTACTTCGATTGTGAGGCGGGACTGATTATATACTTTTTTGTTAGTGGGGGTTAGGGATAATGTAAGTCTCGAAGGAATCTCTGTATGCTGAGAGTTGGGTCTGCAGCACCTCGCAGGTCTGGCTATTGTCAAGGTTGCGTTTAGTCTAATGAAGTCCCATGAGTTCCCTGGGCAATGTCATGCTCTGCATGTCTCAGGGATTTATCAATGGGCTGCAAGTTTTAAGATTTAATTTGAGCTACATTTCCCTTGCTTTTGTTCTCCTCGTCACCACGAGAGGTCACCATCCTCCTTGCCCTCCTTTGTCCAGAAACTGGAAATGAGCTACCTCCTGGCTTCACTGGGCCTCAGTGTGACCCTGCGGGTGCAAATCCCGAATCACCGTGTAATCTCTTACTTTTGATCCGCTGAGGTTTTTTGTTTGTTTTAAGATTTTATTTATTTATTTGAGAGAGAGAGCAAATGGAGTGAAGGGCCGAGGGAGAGAATCTCAAGCAGACTCCCTGCTGAGTGCAGAGCCCAGTGGAGGGCTTGATCCCACCACCCTTGAGATCACAACCTGAGCCGAAACCAAGAGTCAGATGCTCAACCGACTGAGCCACCCAGCCGCCCCCAACGTGCTTTTGAATATTCTATATTTGTTTTTATTTTTTTTAAAGTCTCTTTTTACATAACCAATTAATTTTTCTCAGATTTTCTCAGCTCTTACTTTCTCTCAGTATTATAAATAAACTCTGGACAGTATTTTAGTAAATTGTGGTTACTTAAATTATTCTCATATTATTATGTCTAGAAACTATGTCTAGAAAAGAGTTAAATTTAAGGGGATGACCTAACTTGCTATTTCTTCAACAACATGCTATCATGTGAGAGCAATTCAGCTACCGGAGACATTAGAAATATCAGAATACTTTCCCTCTCCTGATGCTTCTGTGTTGTTCCACAACAAGAGAACAGTGGAGGTTACTTCATGGGCTCCATAAACAGTAGTTGACGAAAGAATGCCTGGGCCCTGCTGATTGCACGGAGGGCATGTGTGTGGAGTGAGGGACCCAGGGGCACTCCTGGTGGTCTGGGCCCAGCAGGGCTACTGCCTCCTTTTTATCAGGGCCCTGACCAGGGTTGAACTCAGCTCAGCTACCCAGGGCAACGAACGTGGGTGGGTACAGGTAGAGAGGCATCTGGGCAACTTTTCATCTAGAGTGAAGAGCCTGCCCCAGTGTCACCGCCATCTGTATAGTACATGTGCCAAGGACCTTGGAGGTATCCTGTGCCAAGCTCTGCAGCCTTGGGACTGGGGGTTGGGTGTGAGTTGCTGTGCCCGGCAGCCTGGCTGAGCCAGGATCAAGCATGTCCAGGCTTGGATGTGGATTATGGCCAAAGAGCAAAGCTGGAGCCTCTAGGTGATACGGTAAGCAGTCCTGGGACCTGAGGTTTAGACAAGGTCCGCCTGGCAGAGTAATAGTCCCGGCAGAGCCTATCCAGGGCCTAATCCATGCCTGTGGGCATTGTGGGCAGAGAAGGCGCTGGGTTCTTCAGGGAAACCATGCTTAAGATACTCTGGGCTCAGCTGGAAAAATGTTTGAACCAGGTTAGCACCTCCAGGCTGTGCCCCCTCTGGTGAGTTACGGAACATCTGAGCCTGCTTCCTCCTCTGTTATAGGGAGGGAAGATGGACCCTTCGTTCTGGTGAGTCTGGGACAGATATGGTAGATGGAAAAGGTCTAGCTAGTGCCTGGTACCAGCAGTGGCTGACACTAGGCTTGTCCAGGGACATAACACTGAGCCAGCCTCTGTGGACAAATAGAGATGGGACACTTAGCCAGAAACCTGACAAATGGAGGCACGCAGGGCAAAGTCTGCATCTGTCAGTCTAGGACATGGGACAAGCGGG